TTGAAACACGTCAAGTAGCGGTTTCTCACGAAAATCATCACTCCAACGAATCTAAACCACATTCACACATGAAGGTGAGTGTTACAGCCTTATTTTAACGCTTTTACATATTTCAGGGGGGGGGGGATACATGTGCTATAATTTATTTGGTTTATGAAAAACACTTACAAATTTATAACTAGTTTATACTTGTTATTCTGTTAAATAACACCTCATATGAAAACAAACTAATTATTATCTGTCATATAGATATATTATAGTTGTTATGATTATATTACAACTAATAAAAATGATATATCTTTCTACTACAAAGTGCTATGACTTTTTATGTGTAAAAAGCTAGAATACATGTGCTATACCTTATTTGGTTTATGAAAAACACTTACAAATTCATATTTAGTTTATATATGTTATTTTGTTAGATAACACCTCATATGCAAATAAATTAGTTATCATATGTCATATAGATAGATTATGGTTGTTATGATTATATTACAACTAATAAAAATGATATATCTTTCTACTACAAAGTGCTATGACTTTTTATGTATAAAAAGCTTCTCATAACACTTGTGTCGTAATCGGTTATTAACTCCATAGTTTTCAACATTATATATATATATATATATATATATATATATATATATATATATATATATATATGTATATATGTATATATATATACACATATACAAGCTATGAAACTTGTATCCTAGGTTCTTACATGTATTAGTGTACACTCTCATAAGATTTATCACCTATTTAAATGAATATCATACACTGTTACGCTTATACTTATTTTAAAACAACTTTATCCGTATATCCATATCTATCGTTGCTAACTACAATCCTGGCTGATAACTATATCCGTTTATCCGTATCTGCGGTTGCTAACTACAACCCTGGTAGATAACTATATCCATTTATCCGTTTACCCATAAAACTTAAACCGTACTACTTTATTTGTATAAATATCTTAAACCTTTACTTATCACGTCCAATGAAGTGTTGTATGGCTTACATCTCGTCACATACTTTGGTTATAGGATTCACTACAAAAATTAACTAGAATCCTTATCTCTTACTACAAAAACATGGGTTTGATTTCTTTCAAAACTATTTTAAGTATGGATTTACTTATGCAAATATACATTTTGATTTTTCAAAAGTTATTCAAAGACTCTTTACAAACATTGTTTTAAGTATTGTTATACTTACAAAGAAAATACTTTTTAGACTTTTTAAAAGTATTACTGCTAACCGCAGAAAACCTGTAACTCTCACCAACCTTGTGTTGACCCATAAAACTACATGTATTCTTAGGATATCATCAAACAAGTTCTCAGACAGAAGGTTTGTAACACTTGGTTTTGGATTTGCTTCATTATTCGGGGTTGCGGCCCAATAAGTAGTTGTCATGAGGCTTAGGGCCTTGGGGGAAAAAGGATTTAGCCCTTTTCGGATGTGGGTGTTCTTGTTTAAGTGATCCAAGTGTTCGATGGTGTTTTTGGAGCCCAAGGGTATAATCGTAATTTGATAACCCGGTCCTTTATGAATTTTGGGTTTTGTTCGGGAAGTTTTAAGGCTATGTGTATTGTTAGAAGCCTAGGGCTTCTCTCCACCTTTCCGTGGATATAATGTTCGTTGGAAATGGACCTACGATGAGGAAGTTATGGCAATTTGAAATTATTGGCAGAAATGGCCCCTAATGGAAAAGAATGGCAAAGCAGTCCCATGCGTGCATGGTAAGGGGCACGTGCCTACGTGAGTACACCAAGCGTAAGCAGGGGGTAAGCCCAACGTAATGAGCAAAGTGCCAAATCCTAATTTTTAGGGTTTGGGCACTATTTAAGCATCCTTGTGAGCTCTAGGCTCTTTCATTTCTCAGCCTCCATTGACTTCTAGCCTCATTTCGGAAACCCTAACCTCTCATTGAGTGTTTGTGAGATCTAAGTGTGCACTTTGGTGTGCCTTTGCTCATTTTCAAGGAAAAGGTGTTTGGTGCTAGCTTGTGGTTCAAAGGAAGACTTATAGATCCAGACTCTTGACTTCATTTCCAGCTTATTTAAGGTACCAAGTTCATACCTTAGCTTCTTGTTATGTTTTATGAGTTTAGGGCTAGATTTGTGCTTATTTATGGGTTTTGAGTCCTCCTTGTGAGTTTAAGCCACTCCAGGAGCTAAGATTGCTAGATCTTGCCCTTTCAGAGTTTAGAAGTTCGTAAAAATGGTATCTTGATCATTGCTTTTGGTACATGCATGTTCTAGTTGGGTTAGAATGGGTCTTTATGGATTAAGATGGTTGTGGGGTCCCGTTAAGTCATGCAAATGCATAAAGGTGCCGACCTTATGCATTAAGAGCTTTATTTTGAGGTTCTCTGAAGTTTGGGTGCAAAGTGCTTAGGTGGTTAAGCCATAAAATAAGTTTTGGAGTGAGCCAGGTTACGCCCCACATACCTAGTTTTGGTCACGACCAGGATTCATCGAGTACGCCCAGCGTAGCTGAGTGTACGCCCCACAGTTTGAGTTCAGACACTCGAGAGTATTCCCGTATCCCTCAAACCAAGGCTCTGATACCAACTTGTGACGTCCCAAAAATTTATGATCAAAAATTTCATTTTTGTGTTAATCACACCATTAAGCTAACATGTTTATAAAAATCATAAGGGAAATTAGAGTATGTCAACAATCATCCAAAAATACATTAGGATCAAATAAGGCGGAAAATCATGGTGTGTGCAATGCGATCATATCGACCTCTTCCCCTTCGAACCGAAAGTACCTGAAACATAAACTAAAAACTGTAAGCACAAAACTTAGTGAGTTCCCCAAAATACCGCATACCATACATATATAGAAGCTCAAGGCTATATCGGGTCTATTTCACCCCCGATTCTATTTCAACTCACATGTCAGCTTAAGGCTGTACTGGGTCTATTTCACCCCCCCAGGTCTATTTCACCCACTGGTCTATTTCACCCCACATATATACAACAAACAGGCATACATGCATGCATCATGCTTCACAAAGACAACAAGAACATACAACCCTAATATCCTACAGTATAGTGAGCAAACTCACCTCCCTCCGCTAATGAACAAATAGTGCTCGGGGTGCTAAATCATAGAATCCCCGCGCTAATCAATCAAATAATACCCTAACTAATAATTAGTTCATAAACCATAACCATTAATCTAATTCATTAAACCCGACTTCTAAGGTAAAAGGATATTTTACCCTTCCCCTTAATTGCCCCAAATAACCGTGGCCCAAACCCAAAAGCACCCGAAGCCCAAAATGGACCAAAACCTTCTAAACCCACAATCGGGAGTACGTTGAGCGTACCCAACTGGTACGCCCTGCGTACTCACACTGACTAGAATACGAGGTTCGAACCCAGTACGCGCAACATACATAGAAGTACGCCGGACGTACTGGTATGTGAACTAATCCTCCTATGGATGGCTTAATACCTTAAGATCCTTCGTCCAAACTTCAAATCTACTCCAAAACAAGGTCTTAATCCATAAAGTCAGGAGCTTTAAGCTTATGCATGGCTTAATAAGATCCAAAACCCAATTTTAACACCCTAACCTCCTGAAATGAACATCAACCCTTGCATGGTTGAGTTAAACCCATAAAACTACCATTTTTATGCACAAGGGGCCTCAGAAACACTAAGATCTACCATCCTAAGCTTCTGGAGTAGCTTATACTCACAACAAACAACTCAAGGGACGTACTGGTATGGAGCTTGAAGATCCAGATCTAAGAGATGAATCAACAAGGTTGAAAATTTATACCTTCTAAGACTTGCCAAGATGATGAAGATTCTGGATCTTCAAGCTCCACTCCAACCAATGCTTGATTACCAAGCTCCTACTTCTTCACAATGCACAAAAAGACAAAAAGTTTACTACCAAAGCTCAAAAACACACAAAAAAATGCTAGGGTTTCGTGGGCAGTCTTTAGAGGGAAGGAGGCCGATGAGAGGGCAGCCTCACGATCCATAATGGCACTTAAATAAGGGCCAAACCCTAAAAATTAGGGTTTTTGGTCTGCTTACATACGTCCGGCGTACGTATGGGTATGCCCAGCATACGCCACCAACCCCCGTGTCCAACTTAAGGGAGTACGCCCAACGTACTCCATGTTATGCCCATCGTACTCCATGTTACGCCCAACGTAATAGGGACAAAAAATGTAAACTTTTTAAGACTAAATCCAGATATTGAAACTCGATCGTTCGTTACAACGGTCAAGAAAGGAAAACGAGATATGAATAGGGCGTTTATGTTTATCGTTGGCAACACCAGGAAGCACAACCACGCTCGACGAAGAGTGGTCGGGATGGTGTGCACGAAATTTTTTCGTTGTCACGTAGACCACGATGGCCTCCGTCCTAAGCATACCAGAGGGCCCAACACTCCAATGGAAATTATTTCAAAAAATGATTTGAAGAGCTCCTAGTTTAATTTATAATAATTACAGCACCAATAATTGCCCACAACTTGAGAAAGAAAGCACGTGGAATTTTTAATAGGAAAAAAAATGGACATGTGGAAATCATGGTGGTCTTTAGGCCTGTGAAAAAAATGTGAACAGATGCCAGTGGATCAAGGTATTTAGTCAAAGTAAAATAAAGATTAGAAATGTCGGCTTTTGGATATAAAGTGGATGTGTAGGCGTGAAAATATTTTTTATTGTCCCATTTGAAACTTTTGGTGGGATAGTGGGATATATAACATTAACAAATACGTTGTAATGGTATCTTTTGGAACTTAATTCCAATCACTTTCTCACATGCAGCAATATATAATTTCCCATAACTGAGAAGGAAAGCGGGTGGAAGTGGAACATACCATAAACACGTTGTATTCTAAACTAAAAGTTTTGATCATGGATTCATGGAACTTATATATATCAAGCATCTGTTAGCATCTTGTTGTACGTACTAGATCAAGCTAAATCTTTATTTCTCCATTCACCAGTCTAGCAAGATGACACAGCCGATATATCCTGAGGACGCCATACCTTGGGTGGGATTGTATGTTTTTCTAGCATCTCTAATTTGTACTCTTGCAATGGCAGCTGATGCCTTAACAGCCTTTGTAAAATGGAAACTCTGGTTTCCATGCAGATTTTTCACAATCAATGCTGCTTCCCTCACTCTGATAGCAATTGCAATGAAGCTACCAGTGGACCTAAACACCGACATGTCTGTGAATAAGACTATCAGCATTATTTTCTTTATCGTCATGTTAGGTAACTCTCTCCCTTCTTTAGGGCTTATGAATGACACTGAACTTCTAACGAATATGGTAGCCTTTGGTATCCTCATAATCACCATCACTGTAAATGTTTGGATCCAGTATGCTACTGCAAAAGAAGAGCTGATATATGTGCTACCAATGATTATGTTAATATGTTCCCTTCCATGGCCCTTTTCGATAGCTTTGACAATTCCAGCATCTAGAAAAATTTTACAACACCGCTACAAGGAATTGCATAGAATGGTTTCAAATCATCATGAGATAAACTTCTCTAACAAGCGACTCAAACGTTATGTTAAAAAGTATTGGATGATGGCAGAGACTAGTAACCCCCAATTTGCAATTGCTTGTTCACCAGTTTCTTCTGCTTTTGGGGTTACATGCTTATGCCTTGCTTGCAGTTTGTTTTTTTTATTCGTGCATGGTGGATGGATTTCCTTTACATATGCTCACAGCAGGTCTGGCTATTATGAGAAATCAGAATACAAGTGGTCAATGAAATTTATTATTATCATGCAAACAGTTGGGACAATAGTAGGCAGTATTGCACCTATTCTAAGATGTTTGACTTCCATCAGTCATTTCGACCTATCCGGGAAATGGACCAAGAACCATCTAAACGTGTTCAGAGTAGAGAAATATTGGACCCAAATACTTCATCTTTGGAAACGCAATCATGTGGGTTCAGGTATCCCAGGCCGTCATTCCAAGAAGCTTCTCCACAACTTCAAAAACATGATTTTGAACTTTTGTATAGCGCTTCAGATAATGATTGTGATTATATGTAAAACAATATGTCTTATTCCCAGATCTTTTCTGATCCTATTCTCTTGCTGTTGCTATTTCTGCAAGTCATTGTTGAAAAGGTTTAAACAAGAACCAAATGCATCTAATAGCAATGTGATACCACATACGGAAGAATATACTGGTTATGTCCTACAAACTGAAGCGGAGGCCAAGCTTTCAAAGAAAAATACTAAGAAAGTCGTTCAACTCTATAACTCGAATTCTTCATGAGTCTGAAGAGAAAGAGCCAATGAATCTGCTGAAGCTTCTCAAGAAATCTACAGGATTCAATGGAGTATTAGAGTTCGACAATGATCAAGTCCCACCTTTACATCCAGAAGAAATCCAGAACTGCTGGAGCCTAGTAGCAGTAACATTAACAGCCATTGCCCTTTCCCTTCCCAACATTGAAAACCGCCAAGCCAAGAGGTTACTTGCCAGTATGAGTGAAGGCATCGAATTTGTAAGACATATTGAAGAAAGCCTCAACACAAATGGTGAATTGGTAAAAGCAAGAAAAGCAGCTAGACATGTGTGGACGGATGTTGAAGTATACTGCACGTGGCTACAAATTGATCTACAAAAGAAGGCTTGTAAAGGAGAAACGTCACAGAAAATTCTTGAATGGTTGGGTGATGAAGCAGTAAATACTGTGATACAGTTCAAGAGAAGCAAAGATGGAAGTCCGGATCATTCACTTCGTAACTTCATTGCTGCAAATTCAATGTACAGAATCAGTCAAACCATACTGCTTCACTGCAATGAGCAAGAAAATTGGCCAACAGATGAGGAACTTTTTGAATTTATATCAACCATAATTGCAGATCTGATGTGCGCTTGCTTTACCAACTTACCTCGTGTCATAACTCTAAGGTGCCATGCGGATGCAATAGAGAAAAGGGGAAGAGAGCATCCGAACAGCAGCCCTGCTACTTGGTAAATCAAAAAAGATCATGGAGATCTTAGAAGCGCGCAAACTCCCTAACTTAGACATGAACTCGATGGCGTACATTGATAAGTGGCACGCATTACCAAAAAGTCTGATATCCACTTGTAATTTTTCTTATGCCTGCAGGATTCAACCAGCTTCTTCAAGTTCTTGTGAATCGATCGAGATAACTATTGTGTAACAAGTGTGTTGACTATTGTTGGTTGTTAGTTTATGTTGTGGCTAGTGTTTGATTCCATGTCAAGAGTTTCATACTATATACGTAGATATGTGTTTCTACCAGATTTAGGTTTTTATTTTTTGGTACGGTTGATATATTGATCTAAATTAGATCATTTAAATACATGCAACGACGCTAGAATATAGTGTTAATCTACCATATAGCTTAGATTATATTTCTCAATTTCATAGTATATATTTGTTAGCGATTCATATCATGGTATCGAGACCCACTCTAAACTCTCCTAAAATCTCTCCTTCTCTTCCTCCTTACCTTTCTCGTTATTTTCTTCCTCCATACTCCACCTCCAGTACTGCCGACGATAACAACCCACCACCCTCTACACACAAGGCATAAGCCACTATAAATATTGTTATAGAATATATTGAAGTGACCTAATCTAAAACCTAAGAGTCTCGGGCCTAAAGCCTAATCATTAACATCCCCTACAATGAGAGACGATTAAACTGGAAAAAAACAAAAACATAAAACATAACACATAACACACATATGAAGATAAAAAGCGGAAGAGTCGGAGATCAAGAATTGAACGCATCGGCGGTAGCGACGACGGTGAGTAGATCTACAAGCGGCGGCGGCTAGATCTTGAGACAGTGGCGGCGACGACATCTTTAGCGGTTAGGACTAGATGCAACAACAACAGAGAACTGGTATTCGATGTAGTCGACGCTAAAAGACATCGAAGAAGGCAACAAATGCTATGACGACTTTTTATATGATAAATGTTTTCTTTAGGAGGAGAAAGAGGAGAAGAGATTGAAGAAAGGGAAAAATTGGACAAACTCCAATGACTATTATGACTATTACTGAAGGTCGCCGAAGGTGGAGGGAGGCGACTACGGGTTATGGTCAGCAGTAGGGTTTTAACCTAGAGCTATGATACCGTTTTATATAATAGATTACTTGATTAATAGTAATGGTTCAACCTCATATAAGTAGGGATACAGAAGTGACATAATCTAAACCCTAAGAGTCTTGGGCCTAAACCCTAATCACTATGAAATCTCAAGATGTATGTCCCGTTAATTCTTGATATTCCCACCCATAACTACGATCCATGGTGCGACCTTTTTACCGCCCATTGCATTGCATATGATGCAGTCAATCATATCGACGGCTCATACTATGCTCCAAAAACACCTCCTACGGATCCCATATAGGAGAAGCTCAATGCCATGGTTAAACTATGGTTGTTTAGAACCCTCTTGTAGTCCCTTATTACCTCTTCATATACTAAGAAGGCAAATAATATGGACATATACACATAACATGATCCGCGAACACTATTATGTCTAGTGGCGCACTTGATAGATGTTCTGGGGTCTCGGGTCGTTACTCGATTTCCCTCCGAAAAGTTTTTTATTTTTTATTTATTGTTATTGTGCAACTGCTATAATTATTGTGCAACTACTATAAGGTCTAACATAAATAAATCTGGTGCACCAACTTAAAAAAAAAAAAAAAAAAAAAAAAAAAAAAAAAAGCCTAAACTTAAAAAAGTTTGACCCAATTTAATTTTGAAAATATAAGCCCGAGAAGTTGTGTTATGTGGATCGTGGAATAAAATAATAGAAATAAGCAAAGCCCAAATCAAATGGCCGATCTTTGTTTGTGTTGTAGGATACGATAGTAAAATAATTAAAGAAAAGAAACAAAAGTGAAGAAGGCAAGCAGCGAAAAAAAAACTGAAGAATGAATGACTGCGTTCGATAGGAGGGAAGAAAAAAAAATCACAATTTACACATTTATTTCATCTCCAAATTTCAATTTTACAAAGGTGCAAGCAGCCAATTTTGAACTTCCTCCGATTCTTCAATCAGATTTTGAGAGCTTTTTTCAAACCTTAAGACGAAACAAGTAAGTTTTTTATCTTGGGAAATTAAGTAATCTAATTAACCATTATAAATGGAGTTTCAAAAAAATAAAAATAAATAACCATCATTTTTAGTTTTTAAAAAATAACCACATTCACTGGAATGTCCACGTTCCGGAGTATTATTCATATTTCGATTTTTTTTTTTCAAAATAATTTTTTTTTTAAATTCCGAATGCTACATTTTAAAATGTTTAATATCATCGTTTTTCAAAAAAATGTCTAGATTGGCGGATGCGAATCTGGATCTATCAACGGAGCAATTCCATTCCAGTCGTAGTCTCAATCCCATATTCAATGTGTCGTCTCCGCCGTGTCTGACCCCCTCAATCTTTCTATCCGGAGTGAGTCAGGCGGCTAAGCCCTGATAAAGTAACCGGCGACAGGTTAGTAAAGTTCACCTGCTTGCGGATTTTTTCCTGCGCTGATTCAGGAGCCTTCTTCTTTAGTCTAAGATTCTCAAAAAAGAAAAAAAACAAAAAAAGAAGCGGCTGGGCGAGAACAAGAAGGGGTCGTCGTCCGGCGGCCTGCACTAATATTGTGTGTGTGTGCCTATATATATATATATATATATATATATATATATATATATATATATATATATATATATATATATATATATATAGGCTTAGGTTATTCTATTCAAAGTAATTATTGTGTTATTGTATGTATAAATGTGGGCCAATCAATTTTACTTATTTTAATAAAGTGATTAATACATATTATTGAATTAAATATAATTGAAAAATATAATCTAATTTAATTACAAGGGTATTTTAATCAATTAATATACATTTAATAAAGGAAAATTGCATATTTGAAGTGATCATAGATTTTATTAATTTTAAAAACCCGATTTTACGAATTATAATTCTTTTAATTCGGAGATTCTGACAGAATATGTTTATGAGTATATTCAAAAATAAAAATATTCTTGAACTATAAATATAAAAATATTCTTGAACCTATTTCTTGATCATGACTTTAAAAACTTCTTGTAGAACAACAAAGTCTTGAACAATCAATTGAGAATAAAAACAACAAATACATTATTTCTTATAGAATACAGGTAACAATTGTTAAGAATTACATTTATTGTTAAAGAATAAAACTAAAAAAACTTTCAAAACGGGAAAGAAAACATCAAAATCTAACAACGACACTAATACATTCTAAAAGAATAATGTTGCTTAGAATCACTTTCAATTTTATGGTCTGTTCTTCAAGCATCAACTTCTGTGAAAACAAAACCAAATTGTAGTTTAGATTCCAATAATGCATTAGCAAATGAAAAATAAAAAACTAAATTCCTTTGGAAAAATATGTGGACTTGTGAATTGCACCAAAACCAATAACCAAGAATTGTAGAACATGCATAAATCAATGAGAAAATATCCATACTCCATTCCAACAGAATTAGAATTCATGCTTCCATTCCAACAGAATTGGAATTCGTGATTCTATTCCAAAAGAATTGGAATCGCACCAATATCATCCATTGAATCTCTACATAAACAAATTGATTTTTATCATATAATAAGAAGTAAATTTGATATGAAAATAGTGACAAACTACCTTCACTTTGTACTTTACAGATTTCTTACCCATCATCGTTAACAACCTTCAAACTCCCAAAAAACCTCACCCTTCTCCTTCCTTTATCCCACCTTCAGGTTCTAATTCTCATATAATATCTCTCTTTTTTTTTACTTCACTTCATATCTACTCCAAATAACTAGAATTTTCTTTTTTCTGTGTCAATGAAGTCAAAGGAAATGTAAACAAACCATGATATATCTTTTTGTATATAACTTTCTTTAAATTTTGAAATTTGAATATCTAATATTCTACTGATTCTTTGAATTTGTAATGAGAATGCATAATATTCTACATATTTTAGTATCATATTCTACATATCTACACCAGTTAAACACCTTGTAATCCTACATTAACCTTACACTTCCATGAAGTACAATATGCTAGATATTTTAAAATATGAATGTGTGATATTTTTATTATTCTATAAATTGTAATGTGGAATGTATAGTATTCTACATATGTTAATATAATATATTATATATTCTGCATATTTTTTGTGGAATGTGCAATATTTTGCATATGTTAGTATAATAGTCCTTTGCTAAACAGGTTGCAAACTGATGATTAAT